CAAGTTGATAGGGTTGTAAAGAAGGCGTATGGTGTGTTGGCTTTCATTGGCAGGGGAATTGAGTTTAAGAGCCGTGTGGTTATGCTGCAGCTCTATAAAACTCTGGTTAGACCAAACTTGGAATGTTATGTTCAGTTCTGGTCACTTCATCATAGGAAAGATGTGGAAGATTTCGAGAGGGTGCAGAGGAGATTTACCAGGATGCTGCCTGGCTTGGAGGGCAGGTCTTATGAGGAAAGGTTGAGGGAGCTAGGGCTTTTTTCATTGGAGCGAGGAAGGATGAGAGGTGACTTGATAGAGGTGTACAAGATGATGAGAGGCATAGATAGAGTGGATAGTCAGAGACTTTTTCCCAGGGCGGAAATGACTATTACGAGGGGACATAATTTTAAGGTGATTGGAGGAAAGTATAGGGGTGTTGTCAGAGGTAGCTTCCTCACACAGAGAGTGGTGGGTATGTAGAATGCGCTGCCAGCAGTGGTAGTGGAGTCAGATACTTTAGAGACTTTTAAGCGACTCTTGGACAGGCACATGGAGGATAGTAAAATGTAGGGTGTGCAGGGTAGATTGATCTTAGAAGGATAATAGGTCGGCACAATATCGTGGGCTGAAGGGCCTGTACTGTTCTATGTTAATTTTCAATGTGTTACTAAAGTGAGGTGTGACAATCCCAATATATATGTTCTTCAGAATTCAGAGTGATAGGACATTAGCACTAACTCTTGTGTCAATCTTGGTTTTGATTTTGTAGTTTGCTTTGGGCACATGGTGTCAGGTGTGGCAAAAACTTCTAGCTTGATTGCATCCATACAGTGTGTTCCACTTCCAGTGTGGAGAGCCTGTTTGTCCTCTGGTTAGACATTGTTTCACTTGGCTAGGATTTGTCTTGCTGTGAACTTCATGAATTGGCTTACTCCTTGCTGCTGTTGCCACTACTGCATCTGTCTTATGTTGGATTGTGCTCTGTTTTAGTATCTGGTGGCATCTTTGGAGCCAGATTCCTTGCGCAGGTTCAATGCCCTTTCACACTACACGCCTTGAATACATCTCGGAAAGCAGGATAACTTTGTGGTGGGTGCAGGAGACTGCACTTGCCACATAGTTTGCTTGCTTTTTGTGTCCTAGCTACAGTGCAAATACTATTAGCTGTACCTAGTGCTTGCAGGTATTGTTGTCTGCCTAAAAGAGCTTTGTGTATCATGCTGTATGCTGGCAGTGAATCAGTGCTGTGACCTTTTATTTGTTTTAAAAAGGTGTTTTTGAGACATTTTTATAAGTGTTGAGGCAATTGCCAAATCTATTAACTGCTCTGAAAAGTTACAATTGTTGCTCTTGTGGGTCATCTACTGACTAAGTGTTCCATTGAAACCTGTGGCTGTTGCAGGTAGGACATCAATTCTAAAGTTGACCCTTAAGTGCAGCTGATGATCTACGTTTTCCATTGATTTGCAGGGTCTTTCTGGTCCTTGTCAGATAAGCCTGAAGTAGTAGCTCTACATAACCCCTCATAACCAACTGCTATTAGTATTTTCATAGCTTGTTTAACCAGTTCTGAAATGCTTGGTCTATGAAGTTTAGCTGCATTCTTTGTTAGAGAGTTTCAATTGGGATAGGATATTGGCTGACTTCCAAATCATGGTGGGGCATTTGGCATCCATCCTTCTGTTCATTTACTTTTTCCAGACACAATTGAGTTGCAGGAACATTTCAGTAATCCAACTGCAATGGAGTCACTCTGCATGTGCCTTCAGGCAGTGTTTTTACTGTCGAGGCGCTGCCTTGTGCTCCCACAAGGAGCTTGAACAGTTCATCCACTTCACCAACACCTTCCACCCCAACCTTAAGTTCACCTGGACCATCTCTGATACCTCTCTCTCCTTCCTGGACCTCTCTGTTTCCATCTCTGGCAACCACCGAGAAACTGATATCCATTTCAAGCCCACCGACTCCCACAGCTACCTAGAATACACCTCCTCCCACACACCTTCCTGCAAAAATGCCATCCCCTATTCCCAATTCCTTTGCCTCCGCTGCATCTGCTCCCAGGATGAGGCATTCCACTCCCGTACATCTCAGATGTCCTCGTTTTTCAAGGACCGCAACCTCCCCCCTCAGTGGTCGAGAACACCCTCGACCGTGTCTCCCGCATTTCCCGCAACTCATCCCTCACACCCCCTCCCCGCAATAACAACCAAAACAGAATACCCCTCGTCCTTGCGTACCACCCCACCAACCTCCGGATCCAACGCATCATCCTCCGACACTTCCGCCATCTGTAATCCAACCCCACCACCTAAGACATTTTTCCCTCCCCACCCTTATCTGCTTTCCGGAGGGACCACTCTCTCCGTGACTCCCTTGTCCGCTCCACACTCCCCTCCAGCCCCACACACCCAGCACTTTTCCTTGCAACTGCAGGAAGTGCTACACCTGCCCCCTCACCCCCATCCCAGGCCCCAAGAAGACTTTCCACATCAAGCAGATGTTCACCTGCACATCTGCTAATGTGGTATTCTGTATCCGCTGTTCCCGTTGTGGCTTCCTCTACATCGGGGAAACCAAGTGGAGGCTTGGAGACCGCTTTGCGGAACACCTACGCTCTGTTCGCACTAAACAACTGCACCTCCCAGTGGCGAACCATTTCAACTCCCCATCCCATTCCTCGGACGACATGTCCATCCTGGGCCTCCTGCAGTGCCACAACGATGCCACCCGAAGGTTGCAGGAACAGCACCTCATATTCTGCTTGGGAACCCTGCAGCCCAATGGTATCAATGTGGACTTCAGAAGCTTCAAAACCTCCCCTCCCCCTACCGCATCCCAAAACCAGCCCAGCTCGTCCCCGCCTCCCTAACCTGTCCTTCCTCCCACCTCAAGCTCCACCCCCATCTTCTACCTACTAGCCTCATCCCGTCCCCTTGACCTGTCCGTCCTCCCTGGACTGACCTATCCCCTCCCTAACTCCCCACCTACACTCATCTTTACTGGCTCCATCCCCGCCTCTTTGACCTGTCTGTCTCCTCTCCACCTATCTTCTCCTCTATCCATCTTCTATCTGCCTCCCCCCTCTCCCTATTTATTTCAGAACCCCCTTCCCCTCCCCTATTTCTGAAGAAGGGTCTAGGCCCGAAACGCCAGCCTTCCTGCTCCTCTGATGCTGCTTGGCCTGCTGTGTTCATCCAGCTCTACACCTTGTTATCTCAGATTCTCTAGCATCTGCAGTTCCTACTATCTCTTTTTACTGTCCTCTCTGCTTTGTGCTTTTCTGCTTTTTGTTAATACTTACTTTGTATGCATTCCTTGTATGTCTTAGCACTGCACCTGATGTATTTTTTTTTCTAGTTTTGACTTGAAACTTGTTTTAGGTATTGTTTTTTATTGACTTGTACTCGTCCCAAATACAGTATGTTTTTTTCCCTTTGATTGAATTTAAATGTGCTTTTATTTGTTTAGAATATGGGACTAACTCCCAATATTTTGATTAGTCCCCAAATAGTGCAATGTGGAACCAGTTAGCTGTCTTCATGGATCAGGCCAGCTTTTGTAGGTACTCTGTTTATGAAGAAATCTTATTATATTCTGTGTTCTTGCTGTGGGAACTTCTGGATTGCTGCTACTTCCCTTGGTTTTCAAGCTTCTGTGGTTGCCTTCTTTGTTCTGTCTTTTGTACTGTGAGAATAATGACCACTGTACACCATGTAGTGTGTTCTTAAATGTAACACAAATGAAGTACATGGATCCTGTTTACATGAATCTTATTGGGTTTGTTTAGTGTTAAACCAGTCCAGAGAACTTTCTAGACTCACCCTTTGCCGAGAGGGCTAATTTACAGAGTGACTGAGACTCCTGGTCTTGTGATGACATGGAACGTGGATCATCTGTGTGTTGAGTTTTTTAAAAGGATATCATTATTAAAATTGAAACACTACAGAATGCGACTCAGTCTGGTCCAGTAAATTCTTGCTGTGCTGGGTGCCTCCAGCTGTCTCTTGCCTGCTGCCTGGTATTCTGTCACAAGCTGCCTCCTCTTGCTGCTGGGCTTACTACACTGGTTCCTGTGTAGCACAGATCCCCTCCAGCACAGGGGAGAATGATTCCCATTGTTCAACAGCCTCTTCCCACCTTTCAAGGTAGCCATTTAAGTTCCCTCACCTTAAGGACTGCGGTAATTGATGCTACTTTAATGACTGGCTACACTGTCCCTAAACTATATGCTGATCCTTAATTTTTGGTAACTACAATAATAAGCCTGACTACTTCCTATTTTAGACTCCACCTTTCAGTGTGTCAGATTATCTGGTTTGAACAGATCTCAAAAGACAATGCAAGTTCCCTGTACCTTGCTGTCCTGCCAGTCAAAAGAAATCTTTGAGAAAATCAGCCACACTTAGGTCGCCAGAATGTTCAGAGTTTACTGAAGGCACAGGAGACTTGTCAGTTGCATTTGAGGCTGCAATAAACCTCAAAGAGTTGCATTTTAAATTGATTGGAAGTGATCCATTTTGCATACTTGAAGGTCTCGTTGATAACAGGTGAGTTACCACCTTGCTTACTCTTCCATCAATATAACCAGGAGCTGTTTTACAACTTCCAGGGTTCTCTGAGCCTACTGACAGCTTTGTCCACCAGCAAGCTGTACAAAATCCAGCCCCTAAGTTAGTAAGCAGGATGTGGAAAAAATTGTAATGTTTTGTTTTACAATGTTTGAGCTGCTCATCTTAATAATTACAGTAATTACATTACAGTATAATCCATTGAACATTGTGTATAGAGGTGAAATATTTGATCATAGATGAGTACACATTGGTTTGCACAGCTTTTTCTAAATGTTCTTTGAAGTAGAAGAAGTTTTGAATTTTTGAGACTTGTAATTGCAATAATAGGGACAGCACAATAATTTTTACTTTTTCTTCTTCTGAAAAAGAAACATGTTCTAAACTTGTCATAAGGAGAAGTGGTTTCTGATTATCATTGCCTGACTAACTGAATGTTATTTATTTTAAAGCAGTGAAACCTACCATACCCCCGTGCCAACTCAAGTGTAAAAAAACTGGAACCCTGCACAGTAATTACTGTGCTAGTGACTTCGGTAAGACGAATGTTTTCCCCTGCTTGTAAGAACATTCTTGCCTGTGTATCTCTGAATGGAATAACTGATGTTTTTCTCTGCCACAAACAATCCCCAACTCAATCATTTCTATATTCCGGTCTCAAGGGCTTCACAGAAATCCTCTCTAATGAAATAGGGAATCTATGTTTACAAAAAGAATGGATTCAAAGTATAAAAACAAGGCACCAAACATGGAGTGAACTGTCGGTACAAGAGGTGTTTATTCATTTACAGTCTTTGGCACATTGAACCATCGCCTCTGCTTAAGGTACAATAGTGCATTTGTCAGTTTGTGATCACAGCTTAGATGGCAAACTGAGTTGTATGAGATGACTCCATATTTTCAGGCCCAAAAATCTGTTGTTTTCATACATGGCATATCCCTCTTCATCCAAGACATGCTATTCACTTGGTTGTCGCACTCGATTTTTCACCTCCACTAACAGATGTTTTTCTTAATTTATAATTGGAGGCAATGGATCACGGTATCGATACAGAGCTGCTCTGTAAAGAACATGGTGCGGGGATGGTTTAAGACGTGCCTACTCACATGGAGAACCACAGTTGTGGTTTATTTTTATTCACTGCATGTAACTTGTCCCACACTTTTGGAGGGGTTTTAGGCTTCAAAGATAAACTTGGATGCTGATGTCTAACGTTGTACCTGAATATTACGTCGAGTGACATTGTACAAGCACAGGCCAGGAAGTTCTAGTGTAATTTGACGCTTTCAGCTGGTGCAGCAACTTTTGAAAGGTGGTTGTGAGGATGTCAGCAAAGCTATGTGTATCACCTTCAGATGGGTGTACCTTCTTCTTAGCTAATGATTATATTTCTACAAGAATGGCTCACCAAACTACTTCTGAAGGTGTTCAGACAACCATTTGGTGTAGGTTTGATTTACACATCAACCAAACTAATGGGGACATCAGATTTACTTCAAAATTGAGGCTTCTGTAAACAATAAAACTAATCCATCATCAGATTTGCCAAATTAAATCTCTTTGTTTTGGTGGTATTTGAACACTCATCTTGTGGTTCCTAATTGCATCACCACACCCTTTTGTAGGTGCTACAACAGACCTCAGCATCACTGACAGCCTCCTTTTCTGTCTGTAAACTAAGGGACATGCAGCTGATTAAATCTGTTGGGGATGGGATGTGTTCCAATGGTGCACATTTGCTGATGGCACAAGAGACCAATGTGTAAGAAGCAGGCTCTACCAGAAGAGGTCCATTTAAAGTGGTGATCATGTGTCATTGTAGTTTGTTGTTTTCAATGTTGCTGTTGCCACTTATTATCATGGGAGATGCAGATGAGAGAAAAATCTCTATGAAAGGATCCCTATTCCCAATTGCTTTTTAGTATCCCTGCTAGCAAATGTACATTGGGCCAAATGCAGGAATAAGTTTGAATGTGATGCTTACATCAACTCAGCAAGTCAAGTCACCACAATCTTACCATACCAAGGGCTGCACTGTCTTTAGAGAGAGAGAGGTGACTGATGGTGATTTAACCTAAAGGGCCACCATATCTCAGATGAGGAGAGAGATTGAGAAGGAGACTCCTTCATGGTAACCTTGGCCAATGTGAGGTTGTTGGCATCACACTGCTTTGCAAATCAACTATCCAGCCAACTGACCTAAACTAACCCCAAATAATGACTATCACACACAAAGTGAATCATTATTTAACTGAGCTACCAGAGGGTTAAAAAAAAAGAAAATTAGAGAAAGAAATTCACTTCTAAGAAGAAATATGACAAATTTGTGGAAATAAGCCATGTTCTTGTCATGTCCAACACTGCCATATAAAGCTGGCTTTCCATCAGGATTCATTTATGGATGATGAAGTCATGGCTTGTTTTAAATCTTGGTTTCAAAATCTAGGTAGCCTGAAGTGATTTGAGGAGCAACCTTTCACTTGATTTTCATTTTAAATACTTTTTCTTTCTTTCAGTGTTAACTGGCACAGTTATAACTGCTATAACACGCAATGGCAGTATTCACACCACCATCTCTGTTATAAATATTTTCAAAGAGGGCAGAATGGCAATTCAACAAGCAGGGAAAAACATGAGCGTCAAAATAATTTCAGTCTGTAAGAAGTGTCCAATCATTAAACGAGGTAAGTTTCTCCAGTTGGAAGGCTCATATTTATTCTGTTATGTTTAGTGATTATCCTAAATTGGTGAACACCTCTGTTAAAGTAAGATTGTCAAATAGGAGCCCTAAGCATTTGTGCTAATATTGCCAAAGGAGAAAAGATCGAATAAATTTTAGAAATGGTGGCTAGGTGAATCTTAGTATTTGGCTGCAGAAAGAAGGGAAGAAATGGTGAGAAAAGCAGTTTCTTTCCAGGGAAAGAAATGCTTCTAACACTGTCACCAGTTGCCTTCACTAGTTGTAATATTTTCAGATTCTTCTTCAGACAATAACACCAGCTTCTAATAATTTGAATTAAATAGTAGAGTTCAGAACCAAATAACAGAATCACTTGACCTGTAATGATGGTGCAAATCATTTGCTAGAGTAACCGAAAATTAATCCTACTGCTGTTCTCTTCTAGCCTTGTATGTTTTCTGCTGGAATTTGTTCGGTTTAAAAGATGTGGTGATCTCTGCCTAAAGAAGGTTTTGTTGTGAAGCATTCCATGTTCTTAACAACTCAACAGTTTTTCCTGACACCTGTTGCTTTTTTAAGTCATAATACTACATTTAAGCCTTTTCATTCATTCTGAAGAGAAGATGATCTTTACTCTATTTGCCTATTTTTTAAAATTAAAAACTAAGCTTTTTTTAAAATCTTCTTTGCCTTGTGTAAAAGATCCTGGAGTAACAATGTACATGTTAAAGAATTTGGGAATCTGGAATGAAAAGTGCTTGAAACATTTACCAGATCAGGCTCATCTGTTGAGAAAGATAAACAGTCACAGAATAAAATGTTAACATTGTCAGGATTTTGCATATCAAGTTTGTACAGCTGTAGTTTCCAATATCTGGTTTGATCTAGGTGAATCTGTGAACTCTATGGTTTTAATGATCTTTCTATACCGAGGCAATTAAAAGCATGCACAATAGACCTAGCTAATAGTTTGTGTATTTATCATTATTTCTTTATTCTTGAATACTATTTGTCTTTTTACATAACATCAAATTTATTTCATGGCTTTATGTATCTGTACTTGGAACACTGAATTCCTAAACCTGGTAATTCAACCACACCCTTCATTCCTTTTCATTCAGCATCTGTGCCAATTCCAAAACATATTACCTCTCACTCAGGTTAACTTGGATCCATCACCTGTCTGCCCATTCTCTAACTTACCTATGTCTCCCTGAAGTAGTTTACAGACATTACCGTTCAGTAACTTTCTGCACTTGTACCATTAAACAAGCCTCAATTGTATTTTCTCTAGACTCAAGTCCAAATCATAGAATCTCTAAAGTGCAGAAAGAGGCCATTCAGCCCATCAAGTCTGCACCAACTCGCCAAAGAGGATCCCACCCAAACCCAGCCCTTACCTTATCACTGTAATCCCACATTTAGCATGGCCAGTCCACCTAACCTACACACCTTTCAACTGTGGGAGGAAACCTGAAAATCTGGAGGAAACCCACACAGACACCAGGCTGGCATCAAACCTGGGCCCCTGTTGCTGTGAGGCAGCAGTGCTAATCACTGAGCCACTGCCGCTCTGTATATTTATAAATCATCTATATATAAATAACTAAAGCAGATTTAACTCAATCAGCTCTACTGAATTTTTAATTTTAGTTTTTAAGATACAAGATTTCACTACTTTGATTCTTACTTTTCAACTGCACTTTCTATTTCCTTATAATGTATTAGGAAGAATATGCAAGTGCTAGGATTGTGAACTGTATACCTGATGAACCGCTTGTTACTACTTAGGAATATGTGTTTATTCTTTTTTGCTATAAATGTCAAATCTCCTGCTGATCTATCAGAACCTCTCAGCCCAATCAATTTGAGTCCAATTACCATTCCTTTCACTGAATGTTGCCTTATCTTTCAGCCCAATACCCTTGCATTTTGACTCCTCATTAAACATTTCCTTTATTGAAAATAACTGTGGTCCAAATTGTTCACTTACTCTTCTGTCTGTGTTGATTACTCTACTTCGTTTTCTAGAACAGAATAATTCATTGGACTAGAAATATACCAAATGCAACAATAATGACAACTTGCATTCATACAGTGGATCTAACACAGAAAGATATCTTTTCGTACACCTCTTTCCAATGGGATTACGTCCATCCTCTTCTGAGGCAGTGTCCACCTTCTATTTCTTTAATCATATTGATCTACTTGGTAGCTGCATTGAGGGTTCTTGAGGCACAGTGGTATTCTCCCCACCTTTTGAGCTAGGAGACCCGGGTTCCAGTCCCACTGTTCCAGAGCTGTGTCATAACATCTCTGAACAGATTGATAAGGAAAATATCTTCAGAAAAATAGTGCTGGGTTAATGCAAAGAGAAGTAAATTGGGTAGCTATACTGACACAGGATTTGTTGGAGCAGAGAACAGCTATCTTCCTATGTTGAGATACAGGTTATCCCCTGCTTCTACCCTTGTGTCTTAAATTGTCTATCCACATCTCATGGGACCCCACATTCTAAATAATACAATGCAGAAACCTTTCATCCTGCTTGATGCTACAAATTGTAGCACTTGTTGCCTAACAGTAGAGATCTCCTGCCAAAGATTGGAAAAGAAGAATTAATCCTGGACATGTTGAGGATCCATGATGAACAATATGTCACACTTTACAGACAAAGATCCCTTGCACAGCCATTCTTTTATGTCTCACTTAAAAATGCAGGTAGAGTTCACTTGAATTTCCACTTGCATCAGACACTCAAATAATCAATAGTTTCTTTCTACTCACTTTGCACAGATAATGATTAAAGGAAAGAAATCAATTCTAGTAGAACCTACAAAATTAAATACCCTCAAAGATTAATCTCAAAATTTTGGAGTCTTTCTGTTTGAGATGGAATCATTGCTACCCAGCTCGATTTATTCAATTATCAAAGTCCAACACATATAAAAATGCCTTTCAGATTATCTAATGACATGTCTAGTAACAATTAATTATGCTGTACTGTCAAAAATTGGTTCAAAGATAAAGTTCTATTTATTGATGCATTTTTGCTGTCTTTTCAGGACTGAATTACATTTTCATGGGTCAAGTAGATGAAGCAGGCAGAGGTCACGTGCTTCCTAATAGCTTTGTCATGCCCTACAGATCAAAGAACCAAAGGTTTTTGAACAACGTAAAGAACAGACGATGCTAAACACACAGCAACAGCAAAGACTTTATTTTCTATTTATGGTGCTGGTAATCGTCTACAGGTAGTTTTCTTTAATTGATTACAGGAGGCTTTCTGCTGGCAAATAGAAGCATTGAAATGCAAAGTTGGTGAAATGTATCCAACGAAAGTGCTGACAAGAATTTGGATATGTTATGAATGTACCAATCCTTGTACTAGCAAAAATAAAGTCTGCACAGAATGATTAGCCCCAAAATAATGTTGCATTTGGAACTGTCTCCTTATTTATAACAATGCTGACAGAGATTGAGCCAAATGTTTATCTTATATACTTATATATTGTAATAGATTATATAGGACTTAAGTGCAATAATGAAGTACAAAGATGACAGGTGATGTTTTATGACTGGTTTGTTTGAAACTGGCGATTGTTTTTGAATTTGTGTTTCTCAAATCACTCTTTGCATTATGTATCTGCTGCTTAATAAAAGAATGTTTTATTTCGAACTGCTGAATTTCCAAAAGTTGCCATTTCAAGAACAACATCAGATTATTGTGTCTTGTGCACAGTAAAATGAACAATATAGGGGTCTTTAAGTTCTTGATTCTACTTATAGTCACCATCCACCTTAACACAGGAAACGTTGGTTGGAAGGTCAGAAGTTATGCTGGCCCTTAGCTTATTAAATAAGTCTTACCTCCCTGTCTGCAGTTGGTAGCTCTAAGACGTCAAGCAGATATAAAACAGACAGATGAAATGGATAGGGATATGGTAGATGAAACTTAATGAAAATAAATATGAAGAGATACAGTTTGTTGGCAGAATGAGCAAAGCCAATAAAAAGCTAAATTGTTATTTTGAAGGGAGTGCAGGAACTAAGAAACTGACATACCTGTGCACCCAAATCTTTAAAACTGCTGTGACAAGTGAGAAGACTGTAAAAAGAAACATGTGTAATCCTTCACTTTATTAAGAGGCATAATACAAAAGAAAATCATACCAAGTTGTTATTCATGATTTTTTAGGCTTTGCCTGTTAAGTTGTGTGCCCCATTCTGGACTCCAGCCTGAAGGGAGGATATCAACACCTTACTGCAGCTGTAGAAAAAAACTAAAGTGATCCCAGGAATGAGGAACTTCAGTTAAGTGGAAAGAATGGAGAAGCTGGATTTGGGGCAACAAGGTGCAGGGCTGGATGAACACAGCAGGCCAAGCAGCATCATAGGAGCAGAGAGGCTGACGTTTTGGGCCTAGAGCTGGATTTGTTCTGTTTCTAGCAAGAAAGGTTTAGAGTATATTTCATAGAAGTCACCTGAGGAAGGGGCAGTGCTTAGAAAGCTTGTGGTTTCAAATAAACCTGTTGGACTGTGACCTGGTGTCATGTGACTTTAAACATTTTCCAATGGCAGAAAGGTCAGTAATCAGAGAACTCAGATAATTAAGTTGTCATGATTTTGTTTTTTAAAATTTATTTTCACTACAAACTGTTGTGATTTGTAAAGCATTGCCTGAAGGATGCTGAAAGCAAGTTCAGACAGAAATTGGATAAATTCTTCAAGGAAAAGAAAATAGGATTGTGAGGAAAAACTAGGGAGTGGGACTGATTGGATAACTCTTTCAAAGAGCTGGCACAGACACAGTGGGCAGAATGGTCTTCCTTTCATACTGCATTACTTAATGATTCTAATATTGATCAAGAGGGACGATTGAAATACTCAGGAGGGAGATATAATTGGAGTGCTAGTTGAATTCCTATCCCTAGAAAATTAATACAATCTCCAATAAAACATATAGACGTTTTGCTTAAGTATTTCATCATCTTAAAGTACTCTTCATTAAAATCATGCTATTTATGAAATGTTACTAAGTGGCAGCCCAAATCTTAATCATAAATTTTACAACCTTCAATTTAAAGACATTAGCATTTCACTTGCAGTTTTTGCAAATTTATCATACATTCTGACATGACAGCAGCTCCTAATTTCACTGTGTTTTAAAAAACAGAGTTGAAGTATGAAGGTTCCCACATTAATACATATTTTTACTTAAATTAGCGAAGGAAGGAATCCCTAAGGGCAAGCCATTTGCATTCTTCAGCTGAAAAAATGTATAATTTGCATTTATTAAATGTCAACATTGAAAAGTATCGGAGTACACTATATAATTTTACCAATGAAGGCAGCTTATTCTTCGGAATAGAGGAACAGAAATAGGCCGTTCAACCCCTCGAGACTGCTCCACGTTCAATTAGACCGTAGCTGAAACATCCAGAAGACCAACAAGAAAGACGAGGTCTAAGGGCTGCCATCAAAACCCTTATAACCCTGTTGAACTAACATCTCAGTGCAGAGCTCTACTCTACTCTTAGCCATGAATCATAAATAAACTTTCATAAGGTCTCACAGCAGGTTAATAACCTATTATAATCCTATTTCCTAAGCATAAAGAACTTGAGAATCCTAGTTTAGGATTCTCTTAAGGTTAATATGCAAGCAGTTAGGAAGACAAATGCAGTCTTAGCATTCATTTCAGGAGGGCTAGAATACAAGAACAGGAATGTATGCTGAGGTTGTGTAAGGCTCTGGTCAGACCGCATTTGGAATATTGTGAACAGTTTCAGGACCCATATCTAACAAAGGATGTACTGGCATTGGAGAGCATCCAGCGTAGGTTTACAAGAATGATCCTGGGAATGAAGGGCTTGCCATATGAGGAGTGGTTGATGACTCTGGGTCTGTACTTGATAAGAGTTTAGAGGGATGAAGGCAGGGTATTAAATCTCTTTGGAATATAACAGAATACTGAGCGGCCTGCCATGAGTTGAAATGGAGAAGATATTTCCACGAGTAGGAGAGACTAGGACCCAAGGGCACAGCCTCAGGATGAAGGGACAACCCTTTAGAACTGAGGAAGAATTTCTTCAGCCAAAGGGTGATGAATTTGTGGAACCCATACCACAGAAGACTGTGAAGATCAAGTCATTCAGTGTATTTAAGACAGAGGTAAGTAGCTTCTTGATTAGTAAGCTGATCAAAGGTTACAGAGAGGAGGCAGAAGAATGGAGTTGAGAAACATCTCAAACATGATTAAATGGCGAAGCAGACTCAGTGGGCTGAATTGCTTAATTCTGCTTCTATGTCTTACAGTGTTAATACTTTGTCAGGTCCAGTCTATTATAAATTGCTCATGCAATGTAAAATAAGTTATTTTACAGCAATTCGCTATGACAGTTAGCAACTGTGCCCATTATATTCTTACTATGAAAACTCAGTTACTGAATTATTATGAGTCACATAAAAAGCTTCCTGTGAGAATGTACCTTTTTACCAGAGCTGACATTCTTCACCCCGAGAGAATTACGAAAAATATATTTCAAATCTTAATTTAAAAACAGACCAAAGCAAAAGAACCATTTTACTGACCCAACACGTTACAGGTATTACTGCATGCAGATATGCAACTGTTTTGTCTCTGAACAATAGATTTGAAATTGCTCATGCTAGATATTCAATGAAAGCTTTCATACAATCATTTGAAATTTCTTTGCTATTTTAATAGAAACATTTAAGTCAAGTTAGCAGATGTCTTTGTTAAAATAACTTATGTAAGAATGAATGGGAACTGCTAATATGTCCATTATGAATGTAAAGCAAATTTCATTTCCTGTTTTTTTGAGATGCATTGTGGGTTTCTGAAGCACTTTTGAAACATCCAGCCTAACCACTGTAGAGCAGTAGAGTCAGGAATGCAAAATTTCTTTAAGGGAAATAAATACCAGCAGCATTCTCCTAATAACAAAATGGCAGTATCTACTTACAATAAATTATTGACAATTATTTGTGTTGTGATATTCCATCTAAATTAGAAACTTCACATGTATTGTAACTACATTTTCAGCTTGAGAATTTACAAAAATAGATCGCATTAAACCAAGTATGAAACAAACCATAATTATCTGACAATGACAGATAATGACAAAGATATCCTTTCACTCAGTTTCATACTTACAACATGAATGAAACATGAATGGATCTAGTCCCCTCAAATACTTTTTAGTTCCGTGAATAGAACATAGCATACTTTGCTGTCCTGAAGCCAAGGAGATCTCTCATTTCATTGCGAAATTTGGAAAGGTCCTGGCGCAGTTCATTCAAATTCTCTTCAGTTGCTTGATCTGTACTATGCATCTTCTGCCTCATAGCAGTAAGGTAACGATGGACCAAGCAACACATTACTTTTTGGTAATTTTGATCTCGTTTATGCTTGAGAGTCTTCCATTCCTTGTTAGATAGAAAAAATGAAGAATATATCTTACTGTTGAAACCAACATTTATCCTATGGAGGAACTTAATTAAGATGATTGTTATTTGACCAAATCTTCAGACAGTTATCCTAATATCTCCTACTTTCTACAGTGTCTTTTTTTGACTGATTGTGCCCCTCTGAAGGGCTTTGGGCCATTTGCTATGTTATGTGCACTTTAAAATTGCAATTCATGATTGTTGACAGCAAAAATAATAGTTATAAAGATGAATGGGTATAGATACACATGTTTCAAGATTCTTCCTTACCAGCTAATGAAGCTCAATTACTAAAAGCCTGTAGTGAATTAACAATTAATGCATTAGAGTAACTCTCCCCTGGAGGCTTGACATCTTCCACATTAGCCCTGCTGAGAGTTTTTTTTTCTATTCATTTGTGGGAATATGGGCGTCGCTGGCTGGCTAGCATTTCTTGCCCATCCCTAGTTGCCCTTGAGAAGGTGGTGATGAGCTGCCTTCTTGAACTGCTGCAGTCTGTGGGTTGACCCACAATGCCATTGGGGAGGGAATTCCAGGATTTTGACCCAGTGACAGTGAAGGAATGGCAATATATTTCCAAGTCAGGATGGTGAGTGACTTGGAGGGGAACTTGGAGGTGGTGGTGTTCCCACATCACTTTACTGATGATCGAGAGGAGACTGATGGGGTGGTAGTTGGCCGGGTTGGATTTGTCCTGCTTTTTGTGTACAGGACAAACGCATTGTCGAGTAGATACCAGTGTTGTAACTGTACTGGAACAGCTTGGCTAGGGGAGCGGCAAGTTCTGGAGCATAAGTCTTTGGTACTATTGCCGGAATGTTGTCAGGGCCGGAGAGTGTAAACATAATTTGTTCGAAGCAGAGCAAGATTAAAAAAAATACACAGCCCATCAGTGATATTAAAAGTAGTCAATGAATTAAAATCAACTGTTGACAGAATTCTCAGTTAAAAGGTGGGAATAAGAAACATATCCAACAGTACTAATTACAATTAATTTATATCCTAATATATTTATCACCACCATTTCAACACTGTAGCTATGTAAAACTCACAATACTTTGTTCTTACTAGGGAAGATGAAAGACTGAATACTGTACCTCTCACCATCTTCACTACACTACTTAGTTCTGCTCTCAATTAATAACTTATGTTCTGAGAATACATGGGGACATTTATAATGTACAGTTGGTGACATGGATATAGGCAAGTCAAATGGCAAGTCAGATATCACAAGTCACAAATTAATAATCATTTTGCTTTGGCAAATACTTAGCGTTCATCCCACATTGTAAAACTAGACACTCCAGACATAACTGCATTGCTGTTAGGGGGACCCAGCTCTGCAGAAAGTGGCTGCTGCACTTTATGACTGTGACTAAACTTCAAAAGCAATTATTGAGCTGTAAATCTGTTTGAAAAGATCAGAGGTTATGAAATATGCTTGTATAAATGCAAGCCTTTATTTCTTCCATTTATTGACTGCCCTATAAAACTGTAGGAGTGAATACAAGACCATAAGATGTGTACAAGGGCCTACTTTAGAACTTCAAGACATTCTCTACTCTTTTAAACTGGAAGTAAAGGTCTCTCTCCACTGTTCCCGCCAAACACTCCCAGGATAGGTAAAGCACAGGGTTAGATACAGAGTGAAACACCCTATACACTTTTAATCTGAGTGAAACACCTTCCTCATCACAGTGACACACTGGTGTCGCAGTGAGGTAGTACCGAATTGTTTGAGGACCAAGGTCCGTTCTGGCTGCTTAAGTGGGTACAAGAATTCCTTGGCGTTAGATGAATTCCATATTGTCCTTGCCAGCTGAAATAATTCCAGAGAGGCTGGTATCCTGTCACCAATTTACAACCTTTATTTACACATGGAGAGTCCTCGACACTGATCTAGCTCCCTCAGAGCCAGATCTCAGAGTAAATAGGTGTCTGACACTCCTGTTCTTATCTGTCAGCCATGTCTCCCTGATTGGACTGGGTTAACAGCCCCAAATCAGGGAACTCATATTCTATGAGGTCCACCTGGCTGACCTCATTATAATCACTACACCAGCATTCATCCTTCAACAAATATCATCAAATGGTTTAATTTCTTCATTACTATCATCTGCTATTTGTGGAATGCTGTGTACGAATTACAACATCTGCCTAGGAACAAAAGGAATCCAAAGGGTGTAATCTGTTTTGGGATGAGTTTAGTACATAAATGATCTATATAAATACATGCCTTTTTCATCGAGGCATGGTCTTTTAGAACAAAGAACACTACAGCATTGGAACAGGTCCTTCAGCCCACCAAGACTGCGCCAACACATGCCTTTCTAAACTAAAAACCTTTTGCATCTACGTGGTCTGAATCCTCCTATTCCCTGCCTATTCACGTATCTGTCAAGGTGTCTCTTAAATGTTGCTATTGAATCTGCCTCTACCACCTCTTCTGGCAGTGCATTCCAGGTACTTCCCACCTTCTGTGTAAAAAAACTTGCCTTTTACATCTCCTTTAAACTTATCCCCTTTTAGCTTAAACCTATGTCCCCTAGTAATTGACATTTCTACCCTGAGAAAAGGACTCCGATTATCCATTCTAACCATGTAATTCAACAGATAGACATAAGCCTTGAATTAAATTCAATCCACAGTTAAGTATTAATGTCCAGCATACAACACACATGTAGACAATTTGATACTGAGACACACACATCTCACTGTACAAGATTGTAGCAAGCTGGCTGCTCACTGCTGTGTAAAATGTTGGTCAGTGTATTTTTTGCATTATTATTAATATAGGAAAGGATAGATCTAACATTATGGACGTGTTTCTGTCTCTCTGCATTTGTTTTTTGCAGAGATCAGATTATTTGGCAAGTTTAATGACTGATCGCATTTTCCTTGGATTCTATAAATTCTCTGTTTTTGAACACTCTATGACTGAGACACTGGAATTGCGGTTTTCTTACTTTAAGGCTGTTCTGGCGTTTCACTTTTCCAGCACTGGTGTGAGAGCAGATCCATTTGTTGAGACTTGTGAAGAGATAGCAAATGGTTTTTGGGGAAGGAATGATATTGAATGGTGATGGTAAAGTGCATTTGTCATCAAAGTAGCTCAGCCACAGCTTTGCTCGGGCAAACTTCCATTCCTTGTCTTCATGATTCTTGGAAAAAATTAAAAATAGTCAATGTTAATTCATTGTTTAATTGTTGGTTAAAATATTTTAATAGACTCCAGCCAAGCTGTTCCAGTCCAGCAACATCAGCGGCATTCATACAGCAATGTAGAAAATTGACCAGATATGTCATATTCATAAAAAGCAGGATAAATCTAAAATGGCCATAAACACCACGTCAGTATTCTCTCAATTAATAGCAAAGGGATGGAGGGTATCATTGACAGTGCTCTCTGCCAGCACTACTCAACAGTAACCAGGTAACTGAAGCTCATTCTGAGTTCAACTAGAACCACACAACTCCTGACTTGATTACAGCCTCATGGATGAAACATGGATGAAAGAGCTAGTCAATTCATCAGTAGTGGGCATCATTGATTGGACCAGCATTTATTGCTCATCCCTAGTCTCCCTCAAGATGCTGGTGGTGAGCTGCCTTATCGAGTCAGAGAGTCATACAGCAAGGAAACACTATCCTTCGGTCCAACTCACCCATGCCGACCAAGTTTCCCAAACTAAACTAGTGCCACTTTCTTGTATCAGAGATAGTAGGAACTGCAGATGCTGGAAAATCTGAGATAACAAGGTGTAGAGCTGGATGAACATAGCAGGCCAAGCAGCATCACAGGAGCAGGAAGGCTGACGTTTCGGGCCTAGACCCTTCATCAGAAATGGGGGAGGGGAAGGGGGTTCTGAAATAAATAGGGAGAGAGGGGGAGGCGGAAAGAAGATGGATAGAGGAGAAGATAGGTGGAGAGGAAACGGACAGGTCAAAGAGGCGGGGATGGAGCCAGTAAAGGTGAGTGTAGGTGGGGAGTAGGGAGGAGATAGGTCAGTCCAGGGAGGACGGACAGGTCAAGGGGGCGGGATGAGGTTAGTAGGTAGGAAATGGGGGTGCGGCTTGAGGTGGGAGGAGGGAATAGGTGGGAGGAAGAACAGGTAAGGGAGGCAGGGACGAGCTGGGCTGGTTTTGGGATGCGGTAGTGGGAGGGGAGATTTTGAAGCTTGTGAAGTCCACATTGATACCATTGGGCTGCAGGGTTCCCAAGCAGAATATGAGGTGCTGTTCCTGCAACCTTCAGGTGGCATCGTTGTGGCACTGCAGGAGGCCCAGGATGGACATGTCGTCTGAGGAATGGGAGGGGGAGTTGAAATGGTTCGCAACTGGGAGGTGCAGTTGTTTATTGCGAACCGAGCGTAGGTGTTCTGCAAAGCGGTCCCCAAGCCTCCACTTGGTTTCCCCGATGTAGAGGAGGCCACAATGGGTACAGCACATGCAGTATACCACATTAGCAGATGTGCAGGTGAACATCTGCTTGATGTGGAAAGTCTTCTTGGGGCCTGGGATGGGGGGGAGGGAGGAGATGTGGGGGCAGGTGTAGCACTTCCTGCGGTTGTAGGAAAAAGTGCCCGGTGTGGTGGGGCTGGAGGGGAGTGTGGAGCGGACAAGGGAGTCACGGAGAGAGTGGTCCCTCCGGAAAGCAGATAAGGGTGGGGAGGGAAAAATGTCTTTGGTGGTGGTGTTGGATTGCAGATGGCGGAAGTGTCGGAGGATGATGCGTTGGATCCGGAGGTTGGTGGGGTGGTACGTGAGGACAAGGAGGATTCTTTTTTGGTTGTTATTGCGGGGACGGGGTGTGAGGGATGAGTTGCGGGAAATGCGAGAGACACGGTCGAGGGCGTTCTCGACCACTGACGGGGGGAAGTTGCGGTCCTTGAAAAACGAGGACATCTGAGATGTACAGGAGTGGAATGCCTCATCCTGGGAGCAGATGCGGCGGAGGCGAAGGAATTGGGAATAGGGAATGGCATTTTTGCAGGAAGGTGGGTGGGAGGAGGTGTATTCTAGGTAGCTGTGGGAGTCGGTGGGCTTGAAATGGATATCAGTTTCTCAGTGGTTGCCCGAGATGGAGACAGAGAGGTCCAGGAAGGTGAGAGAGCTGTTAGAGATGGTCCAGGTGAACTTAAGGTTGGGGTGGAAGATGTTGGTGAAGTGGATGAACTGTTCGAGCTCCTCGTGGGAGCATGAGGCGGCGCCGATACAGTCATCAATGTAACGGAGGAAGAGGGCCAGTTTAGGTACAGAAGAGGGATTGTTCCACATAACCTACAAAGAGGCAGGCATAGCTTGGGCCCATGCGGGTACCCATGGCCACCCTCTTTGTCTGAAGGAAGTGGGAGGAACTGAAAGAGAAGTTGTTGAGGGCGAGGACGAGTTCGGCTAAGCGGATGAGGGTGTCAGTGGAGGGGGACTGGTCGGGCCTGTGGGACAGGAAGAAGCGGAGGGCCTTTAGGCCATCTGTATGGGGAATGCAGGTGTATAGGGTCTGGACGTCCATGGTAAAGATGAGGTGTTGGGGCCCGGGGAATTGGAAGTTCTGGAGGAGGTGGAGGGCGTGGGTGGTGTCACAGACGTAGGCAGGGAGTTCCTGGACCAAGGAGGAGAAAATGGAGTTGAGATAGGTGGAGATAAGTTCGGTGGGGCAGGAGCAGGCGGAGACAATGGGTCGACCAGGGCAGTCAGGTTTGTGGATTTTGGGAAGGAGATAGAAGCGGGCGGTGCGGGGTTGGGGAATGATGAGGTTGGAGGCCTTGGGTGAGAGGTCACCTGAGGTAATGAGGTTGTGGATGGTTTGGGAGATGATGGTTTGGTGCTCGGGGGTGGGGTCATGATCAAGGGGGCGGTAGGAGGTGGTGTCGGAGAGTTGGCGTCTGGCCTCGGCGATGTAGAGGTCAGTGCGCCGTACTACAACTGCACCTCCCTTGTCCGCGGGTTTTATGGTGAGGTTGGGATTGGAGCGGAGGGCTGCACATTCTGCGGGGGAGAGGTTGGAGTGGGTGAGAGGGGTGGAGAGGTTCATGCAATTGATGTCTCCAACGGCAGTTGGAGATGAAGAGGTCGAGGGAGTGTAGGAGGCCTTGGGGTGGTGTCCAGGAGGAGGGGGTGTGTTGGAGGCGGGAGAAGGGGTCAGTAGAGGGAGGGTTAGGTTCACAGTTGAAGAAGTAAGCGTGGAGGCGGAGGCGGCAGAAAAACTGCTCAATGTCCATACGTGACTGGTATTCGTTGATGTGTGGGTGGAGGGGGACAAAGGTGAGCCCTTTACTGAGGACTGACCATTCGTCATCAGTAAGGGGGAAGTCTGGGGGGGATGGTGAAGACTCGGCAGGGCTGAGTGTTGCTGTCTCCTCTGGAGCTGCTGGCTGTGGAGGCAGTGGGCAGAGCGACGTCAGCGTCGGCTGTGGGCAGAGTTGCGTCGGCGGTGGTGGGCGGAGTTGCGTCGGCATCAGCGGTGAGCAGAGTTGCGTCAGAATCAGCGGTGGGCAGAGCGGCGTCGGCAGCACCGGTGACGGTAGGTGCGTCTTCAGTGTCTGTGGTGTTGGCCTCAGAAATGGAGGCGGTGGCATCAGCAGCGATGCCACCTATCTTCTCCTCTATCCATCTTCTATCCGCCTCCCCTTCTCTCCCTATTTATTTCAGAACCCCCTTCCCCTCCCCCATTTCTGATGAAGGGTCCAGGCCTGAAACATCAGCCTTCCTGCTCCTATGATGCTGCTTGACCTGCTGTGTTCATCCAGCTCTACACCTTGTTATCTCGCCACTTTCTTGTGTTTGATTCATATCTTGCTAAACATTTCCTATTCATGTACATGTCCAAATGTCTTTTAAATGTTGTAACTGGCAGCATCTGGAGGAATGGAGAAGTCAACGTTTCGGGCATTACTCTTCTTCAGGATTGTGCCTGCAATTGGTCTATATCTCTCCATACCTATCCCATCCTTGTACCTGTCCAAATGTTTTTTAAACGATGAAATTTAACTTGCTTCCACCGCTACCTCTGCTACTAGCTTATTGTGAATCATACATGAAGACTTCCAAATCCCTGTTCTGTAGCTTTCTGCAGTCTTTCTCCATTTAAATAATATTCAGCTCCTGAATTCTTCCTGCCAAAAGTGCAAAACCTCACATTTCTCCACATCATATTCCATCTACGATGTTTTTGCCCATTCACTTAACCCATCTACATGCCTCTGCATACTCTATGTTGTCCTCACCACTTGCCTTCCCGCTTATTTTTGTGTCATCCACAAATTTGGCTATAGCACATTTACATTCTTCATCCAATTATATCCATTAAAATATATTGTAATCAACTACTGCGTTCTCCAAGATAATTAGGGTCAAATAATTTATGCTGGCCTAGCCAGTGATGCTACTATGAATGAATAGAAAGATTTCAAAAATATTTCCTTTCATGCTTCCCATCAATAAGACATAAATTCAGAGCCACAAAGGCATAGTCACATCAAACTTCTTTCTTTCAATGTCACTTTTGCTCCCTGATAGATGTGAAAGCAAATGGTCTCGGGTGGTCAATCCCCTGATAGCACTCCCTAGTAACACCTAGTCATCCAATGTGAGATACATAACCCGAGGTGCAGAGAATACGCAGGAAGAAAAATGTATCAGACGCACTTTGCGACAGTAAATTGATGTGCTTACACTCCTAACTATAATCTTAAAATCTAACTCATGTTATTTACAGTTCATGGGTGGCTTTTGATGCATCACAAGATAATAACCAAGTTGTGCCATTTTTGGATCCCAAGCACCATTATCTGCTTATGCGGGAAATGAGCAAGCACAGACAGAGATAATAAAATCCTTAATGGAACAATTTAGCAGCAGTCTGGTTGACATAATTTGGATGCCATCTGTACAATGAAATAGATCATAGTTGCGTAATAATAATGTTGATTACAGCTTTCAGCTGACATTATGGAGGGTTTTGCTAAATTTCTGGAAATAAATTCCAGAAAGTTTTCTCTTCTTAGAATTTCTTTCCTCTCAGGAGAACAATTAATTTGGCGCATCAATACAGACAAAATTACAATCTCCAGTGGAATCAGTAAATTTTTACAGACGCTTTCTTTCTATGCACATTTCTTGCTCATAGCGAGTTCAATTTCTGAACAAACTGAGAACAGACTTGAGTCTTAAATTCTTTGACAACATTTTGAATTATTTATAACATGGAGTTGATAATAAATGTTTTAATCATAAATGTACATTCCAATCTGTAGAAGATTATATCCTGGATGCCCATAGTAGGAAAATTTGTAAGTGGTTATGTACAGAACACTTAGTTCACATGAACTCTTGGATTAGTTTTAATCACGTAAGTGGCACTGGAATTTAGAAGAATAAGGGACAACCTATGGAAACATGCAAGATTTTTAAGGGATGAGAAAGGATAGATGCAGAGACATTGTTACCCCTTGTTGGAGAGTCTAGGATCTAAGACCATAATATCAGAATAAGGGGTTATACATCGAAGCCATTGATGAAGAGAAATTTCTACTTTCAGAGAGGAGTGAATGTGTGGAATTATTTACTAGACAGCATTATCTAGGTGGCTCATTAAGTATATACAAGGCTGAGCTAGATTTTTAATCAGTAAGTGAATCAAGAGATATGGGGGAAAAGGCAGGAAAAAGTGGAATTGAGAATCATCAGATCAGCCATGATCCCTTGTATGGTAAAGCAGGCTCCACAGGATGAATGGCCTACTTACGCTCCTACACTTCATGGTCTTATCAATTTTCAAAAGCATTTTTTTCTGACTGTAGTTTTTACATCTTCATGCATCTCTCCAGAGGCTACAGCATTCCTTTCAGGGTGGTGGTGGGGGCGGTTGAGGTGGGGGGAGTTCATATTTGCAGTTGTGATAAAACATTGTGAGGGTCCAGACAGTCCTAATGGACCGTGTGCCCCGTTTCTGGCACTGATGTTTGTATGCTTATGTGACTATGATGCAGACATTCATAGTCACTAACCTTCATTATGCAAGATGGGGTGTTTTCTGATTGAATTTTCTTTAGGAATGGCAGGAAGTACCTGTTGACAAAAATGTCAGAACATCATTTAAGGGACAAATGGTGGAAGGGCTTTCTGAAATAATCTTTCATTGGGGTGCAGGTCATCACTGGCAAAGCCAGCATTTGATCACTCACCATTGAACAAGAGGTCAGACATTGGGTTGCTCTATTATCGAATGACAGAGTCATTCAGCATGGAAATAGACCCTTTGGTCCAATAAGTCCATGCCGACCATAATCCCAAACAAAACTAGTCCCACCTACCTGCCATTGGCCCGTATCCCTCCAAACATTTCTTATTCATTAACTAATCCAAATGTCTTCAATGTTATAACTGTAACCACATCCACCACTTCCTCTGACAGTTCATTCCACACACGAACCACTTACTTGCTTGCAAGCTCCTTTCTAAACAGGGATACTTCCCTTCTCTTCATTTTTGACCATCATTATTAGCTCTTCAGGATTAACAAAAATTGTTCTCAGTTGAAATGCTCTTTAGCTTTTCAGACATTCTACTCTGATATTCAGTACAAATTTGAAACAAAGTGGAAGGTGACTTGTGTGCAGCTTATATACCAGCATAGAGCCATTGGGATGAATGGCCTGATGTAACTTCTATGACCAACTTACAGCGATCATCTGGAAGCTTTTGTGTAGCATCGCCACCAGCAGTTTGGTCAGGACAATCACAACCACCACGTTGTATGTGCCAATGATAAATGTTCCAACAAAAGACCGCAGGTCATCAGTGTGAGTGAATCTTGTGACAAACAGTGCCACATGTGCCAGGGAGAAAACGTACCAGAATAGGGCATAGCAGGTCCCAACAAACCTGGAGGAACAAGAGACAGTGAATTAACGACTGCCGTGCCATCCTGAAAAACAGGAGACTAAAAAATTAGACTGGACTCCATCTAGATATTGAATAGCCCGCTTCAGAATTTCCACTAGACACAACAGGACTTACATTAGCAGATTAGCTGTGGCAGGTCTACCTGAATTGGCACTTGAAGTCTTTCCCTGGGCACTGACACAGGAGGATGAGAAGAGGGACACTGATCAACATGATGGTTAGAGCACCAAAACCGGCAAAGTACAATATTTTTCACTTTGTGCATGGCATACACTATCTGTAATTAGTAGAGCAGTTTCTATCCATGCAACTGGTGCCACCATAAGAATGGCATAGAGATGACTCCTTATGGTACTGCGTATGGGGAAGTAGTCAACCTCTGCCACATCTTTAGAGTGACACATGGAGAGTGGAAACCGAGCTTATGAGAAATTGTGTGTCTAACCATGAAAGTGCAGCTCTAAACCATCCAGGCATGATGTTTTTATAGTACAATTCTTTCCTGTTTTCTAAAACAATCGTGCAATATGATCTATTAGAGGTGGCCAGACATTTGTGGATTAACCAGAACATAATTTAATGTGGTGATTCCAGCATTTGTAATGGAATGTTTAATTTCTTCCCATTCCCCACCCCTCACCTTCCTCTCTTCTCACCCACCAGTTCCTGTCCTCTCCTGCCTGCACATGCACCTCAGTGGAGGCTGAATGCTGACAAAGCTCAAGAAACAGTTGAAACTGCCCTACAACAGACATGGGAAACTAAAGCTTCTGAAGCCTCTCTTTGCCAATCAATAGAAAACTAAATGTGAAAAATAAAACAACTGTTGTACAATGGGAGACTGGCAAATATAGATGCAATTATTGAGAAAACCTTGTTTTCTAGTTTGTGTGTTAGTGCTTGAAAAAATGTAAAGTGAAAAATAACATCATTACACGCTATTGCAAGTGACAAATAAAACATTAAATTACATTGTTCACTAAATTCCACTTGAACTTACGAATGGAAGGTGCTGTTGCTCTGCTGCTCACAGAAGATTCCAGAACAATCCTTGCCTTCCATCGTCGAAAACTCCTTATCATACAATTGAGTAAGGCCGATGGTGAAAGAGATCAGAACGAGCAGAAACATTCCCAAGAACTTCCCAAAATCTTGCAGCATTTGTCCCATGGAAATCTGATCAAAAATATTGGTGGCAGATTAGTAAATGATATAGATATGAAGAAAGGAAAGGGTTTAGCTGCGAGAATAATGACCACTGGGCAGTTTTCAAAATGCTTTAACATATTAAAAGGGTTTGGATGTAATAAAACTTTGAGAAATATGATCCTGAAGCCTCCGTTCAGTTTATAATGGGCACAGGGGGCCAAAGCACGAACTGTTCCAAATTTAATGCTAAAGGAAAGATGGGACAAGAAGAGAATAATTACTACTGGTATTCACAGGTCTTCTGAGATTGAGCAAAAGGAGAAAAGCTTCTTTTTCATCCAACTACTGTAACGTGATTTGAAAGTGAAGTGAGTGCCAAAAATGGATATGCTTTAGCAACAAATTAAAAAATGGAACAATGTCAGTAAATGGGAGCAATTTCAGGATAGCAACTCTTTGTGTCCTCAGAAGTGGTTTTCCAGCTTTCAACCTTTAAACTGATAAACCAGCTGTGATATCACATGACCAATACCACCGAAACCCAACTGCAGCCATGCGTACAAGATGCACTGCAGAAATTCACCAAAGATCCTTACACAGCACCTTCCAAATCCACGACCACTACCACTGCACAAGGACATGGGCAGCAAATTATTGGAACACCACCACCTGCAAGCCACTCCCCTTTCTGACCTGGAAATACATCGCTATTCCTTCACTGCCACTGGGTCAAAATCCTGGAACTCCCTCCCTAACTGCATTGTGGGTCAACCAACAGCACATGGACTGCAGTGATTCAAGAAGGCAGCTCACCACCACCTCCTCAAGGGCAGTTAAGGACAGGCAATAAATGCTGACCCAGAAAGGATGTCCACGCCCCATGAGTGAATTTTAAAAAGTGTCCACTTGCAGGTTTGATGTTTACCAGTTTGAGAAATTGTCATAACATCATTCAAGTGTTCTGACAGCACAACATAAACAGAGTATGGATCAGAAATTGAAATTCATGGATTTGGGATGTGCTGTGTTGGATATGACCTTCCGCTACGGAATTATAAAGTTGGATAGATTTGGTGTTAGACAATGAAGCTCCGCTTTTAAAACTGGCCAACCAGGAATTCTACTAGACTGATACTTTGCAAAGCATGAACTCAAGTTGGGGGCAAAAAAGGAGGCATGTGGGAGTAAAAACATTTGCGATTTCCTAGAACTAATATTGCCCTGTAATAGATTGCAAGAAAGAAAATCAGGTTAGAAATGACATTTTTTTTTGCAGTGAGGCCATTTCACATCTCTGGCCTTTTTCTAGGAAAGAACTAGTTTACATTATAGGGCTTTGAAAAACAGATGTTTTATTATTTACTTGTAGATTTTGTTTTTTTAAGCTCGAGAACTGGCAGCGTCGCTATTTGTGTCCACCATGACCACATTGACACAGCACTGTATTTTATGTTAAAATTCCTGCTGTCTGAGCTTGTTAATCAGCACAGCAGTCTGGAGGTGCAAATACAAATCTGTACATTACTCTGAAGAGCTGACAGACTAACTCTGAAAAGCAAGGAGAGGACAGTAATTCTTTGACATTAATCTGATGGAGACTTGGATTTCCATTCATTTTGATTTATTTGTATCATGTCATTAGTATGAAATGTAATAAACTTACTGTATCTTCAAGCCAGATTCAAACCACATTTCGTATTAAATGAAGGGCCTTAAAGACACTGCCGTTGTGAAACTCCACTCACATTAATTTTATGAAATTAATATTAATTTGTATAATATTTTGGTTCCTATCAACATCACAGGAAAACTATACATCAATTAAGATAGTTACCGATTTAAGGAAATAAAATGTTAAAGGGAGGGGCAGGGGTAAGGAAGGAATTCAGTTGCAATGGCATGGGACTGATTAGCTGCATCCTTCCCTGCTTCCGTAGGCAATCTGGCATCTGAATCAGGCATGGTGCTCAAAAGCAAGGGACAATTTCTCCCACTCGCTGGGCCACAGGGAAATGCTATGTGATCTTCCCAGATGGCAAATACCTACCACACTATAGCAGCGGTAGTATGTGGCCTTCAAATGCCCCTTTACGCATCCACTTAAGGGCCTTAACTAGCCTGCAGTTGGGAAGACTATCCTTGAGCCTTGCCCAGTATTAATTACTGGAAGGCGGCAGGATTTCCAACCCTCTCTCTCTCTCTCTCAACTACAGCGCTTTGCAGCTCTAAATTCCACCCTGCATTTCCAGCAACATTGCCATTTCATCTGATTTTGTTTTTTTTTGTCAGTGATTTAATAGCCTCGATTGAGGGGTTTGGGCATTCACACTATGTTGCTCACTCTGCATACTTCTTTACGTTTGTTCAGAAGAAAAATATCTTTCATCGGGTCACAACAGTCTGCATCAACTTAATTTCTAAGTTAAATGACTCTATTATGTTATGACGCACTGGTTAACCATTAAGAAATACGTGTCTCTTGAACTTTAAGAAACATACATGGAGCAACATTTTTGAAAGCATGGCCATCTTGTCGTCATTGCATTACAATTAGAGAAAACCTGCTTAAAATGTTTTATATCAGCCTCTTCTAACAGTGTTTTCCCTGGAAAGAAAAAAATAGTTTTTGCTGAGTACCTAATATCCGTACAATACCATCAGCACTGCAGTGTTCTAGCTGTTGGAATCACAGTTCTATGTCAAATAGTGATAATAAGGGAGTTCTCTCTATCCAAAAGGAATGTCCAGTCCCACATCATAGGTGTCAAAGGGAGGTCAGAACTTTTGATGATCAGAGTGCCAACCTCAAACACATCTTCACAGGATCATAAAGTGATAGAATCCCTACAGTGTGGAAGCAGGCCATTCAGTCATAAAGTCTACACTGACACCCTGAAGAGCATCCCAACAGACCTAACCCCTATCCTATCCCTGTGACCCTGCATTTCCCATGGCTAATCCACCTAGCCTACACATCCCTGGACACTATGAGCAATATATGGCATGGTTAATCCACCTAACCTGCGCATCTTTGGACTTGTAGGAGGAAACCGGAGCACCTGGAGGAAACCCACACTGACATGAGGAAAACGTGCAAATTCCACAGTCGCCCAAGGGTGGAATTGTTGGAAGCAGCAGTGCTAACAACTGAGCCATCGTTCTACCCCACCTTGGTTAGAAACAAAGGAGCATAGCTCTGGGCTACCTCCCTGACAGCAGCAACCAGCACAGACCAAAGTAGAGGAACAGGAAACGGGGACACAAAGTAACTGATAACAGAGTACAATAGAGCTTTATTCTTTCTCTTAAGCAGTCCAAAATTGTGCTCTGTCCAAGAATGCATGTTTAGTAAGTTTGTGGATAACACCAAAATTCATGGCATTGTAGACAGTGAAGGTTTTCTAAGATTACAAAGGGATCTTGATCAAATGGGTCAATGGGCTGAAAAATGGCAGATGGAGTTCAAACTGGAAAAATGTGAGGTACTGCATTTTGGTAAAACAAACAAAGATAGGGCCTATGCAACGAATGGTAGAACCTTGGCTAGTGTTGTAGAATAGCGGGACCTAAGCATGCAGGTACATACTTCTTTAAAGTTTGCGTCAGATATCGACAGGATGGTTAAAAAGGCGTTTGGCATACTTTCCTTCATTGTTCAATCCTTTGAGTATAGGAGTTGGGAAGTCATGTTGAGGTTGAACAGGACATTGGTAAGGCCTCTTCTGGAATACTATGTCCAGTTCTGTTTGCCCAGTTGTAGGAAGGATATTATCAAGCTGGAGAGGGTTCAGAAGAGATTTACTAGGATGTTGCCAGGTATGGAAGGTTTGACTTATAAGGAAAGGCTGGATTGGCTGGGACTTTTTCCACTGGAGTGTAGAAGTTGTCTAGGAGTTGTGTAGTGGTAGTTGTCTTTTCCCTAAGATGGGGAATTTCAAGACTAGTGGGCACATTTTTAAAGGTGAGAGGAGAGAGATTTAAAAAAGACATAAGAGGCAAATTTTTTACACAGAGAGCAGTTCGCGTGAGGAATGAACTTCATGAAGAAGTGGTGGATGCAAGTACAATTACAATGTTTAGAAGACATTTGGATGGATATATGAATAGGAAAGGTTTGGAGGGATATGGGCCAGGAGCAGGCAGGTCGGACTAGTTTAGTTTGGGATTATTTTCGGCAAGGACTGGTTAGACCGAAGGTTCTGTTTCCGTGCTGTATGATTCTAGGACTTCTATAAGATGGACAACCAACCATTTCCAATCAACAGCCAATATCATACTGCAAATCACCATAAATGGATTCAGAAGAACATGCCATGATTTTACTTTCCTCTTTCAGGTGAAGCTCTTTGTTTCAAGTGACAGTAAGACTGAGATTAGGAACTCACTTTGGAAGGAAACCAAGGTTGCAAACCCTGCATTAAGGCTTCAATATAAGGTCGAGCTGACTCTACTGTGTTCAGAATGTACTACATTGTTGGAGGTGCCATCCTTTGAAAGAAATATTAAACAGGATTGATCAGCCTGTATTCCTACAATGGAGTACACGTGAGACTAAAAGGATATTGTATTGTATTGTATCCACTCAGTGGATATTAAAAGATCTTTTGCTTGAAAAATTTTGTAAAGATTTCTCAACATCCTGGACAATATTCCTCCCTCAAACAAAATCATCTTAACGTGTTGATGGATATTCATTAAACAATGAGGTATTCATTATTTGATAAGATATTATGATGCAAAATGTCTGCCCCATTTGCCTTCATTTATTTTACAAGTAAGAAAGTCTATATTTGTGTAAATATCATGACTAAATTATGAATAAGCTGCTACATCTGCGTGACATTAACTTTTCAGAATTGAGAATCAGTCTTCAACAACTAGTAGATCTGGTTAAGCCTCAAGCATACAGAAATCCAACACAGTATTTGGGGCTAATTCTGTCAAATTAATTTATCTTTGGGACTATTTTAAATCATCAGCAGAATTGATATGTAAAAGCAGTACATGGAAGAGAGAGGCATTGATGT